ATATATGATATAGAAATTATCATCCAGTACATGAAAATATTCTCAACATTATTAGTTATTAGTGAAATGTAAATTAAAATCACAATTATATACCAACCACTTCATACCCACATAGATAATTATAATCCAATAACAGGGAAATAAGAAGTGTTGGCAAGGATGTGGAGAAATTGGAACCCTCATGCATCAGTGATTAAAATGTTAATGGTTCAACCACTGTGAAAACAGTTTGCAGTTTCCTCAAAGAGTTAAAGATATAAAGTTATACATATGACCTATCAATTTTATTCATAGGTATATACCCCCAAAAATAAAATAAGTACTAAAAAAATACTTGTACAGAAATGCTCTTACTACACCATTCACAATCACCAAAGGGTGGGAACAACCCAAATGTCCATCAACAAATGAATGGATAATCAAATTGTGGTATATACATACAATGGAATATTATTCAGATATGAAAATGAATAAAGTACTGATACATATTACAACATGAATGAACCTCAACAGCTACAGAGATAACATTTTCACTTATCATTTTGGCAAACATTCAAAAGCATGACAACACATTTTGCTATGGGAAACACATGTTCACAAGGTTGGTAGCAACACAAAATGGTACAACCTTTATGGAGTAAAATTTGGCAATATGTCACAAAACTACATATGACTTTATCCTTTTAACCAGCAATTGCACTTTTAGAACTTGACCCTGATGTTACACCTCCAGCAATACAGAAAATATACACATAATTGTTTATTGCAGCACATTTGTAATAGCAAAATCTTGGAAAATATATAAATACCCATATATGGCAGATAGGTTGAATGACTAAGATGTGTGAACATGGAGGCATAGAATGCAGCCATAAATAAGAAAAGGGAACTCTGGATATATTACTGAATGACAATAGCAAGGTGCACATGAACATATCTGTGCAAGAAAAAAATGGAATTAAGGAATCAAGTAACTAATTATCTTTATCTGGCACAAAAAATTCCAAAGAATTAATTTTTTTTTTTTTAAAGGGGGTGGGAATACTGTGATTCAGCACATTGTCTGAGGTCAGTGTAAACTTGCTGCAAAACCAGGCAAGGACTATACGAGAAAGGAAAGTTACAGGCCCAGTTCTGTTGTGAACATAGATGTAAAATTCCTTAAAAATAGTAAACTGGCCTGGCCACAATGGTTCAGTGGTTAAGCACTGACCTATGAGGAAGTCATGGTTTAATTCCCGGTCAGGACATATGCCTGGGTTGTGAGTTCTATCCCTGATTGTGCATGAGGCAGTCTATCAATAATTCTTTCTTATCATTGATGTTCCTATCTCTCTCCCCCTCTCCCATCCTCTCTTTAATCAATAAAGATTTTTTTAAATAGTAAACTGAAAAAAAGATGAATGGGCATAAAGGGTACTGTGCTGAGTGAAATAAGGTCAGACAGAGAAAGACAAATGCCATATGATTTCACTTGTGTGTGGAATCTAAAAACCAAAATAAATAAACACGAACAATAGAAACAAAATCATAAATACAAAGAACATTTTTTAACATATTTTATTGATGTTTTACAGAGAGGAAGAGAGAGGATAGAGAGTTAGAAACATCGATGAGAGAGAAACATCGATCAGCTGCCTCCTGCACACCTCCCACTAGGAATATGCCCGCAACCAAGGTACATGCCCTTGACCGGAATCGAACCTGGGACCTTTCAATCCGCAGGCCAGCACTCCATCTGCTGAGGCAAACCCGTTAGGGCAAGAACATTTTGATGGTTGCCATATGAAAGGGAGTTTGGGGTTAAAAAAGGGAAGAGATTAAGAAGTACAAATTGATAGTTACAGAATAGTCATGGGGATGGAAAGCATAGCGTAGGGAATATTATCAATAATATTGTAATAACTCTCTATGGTACCCGGTGTTACACCCCCAGCAATACAGAAAATATACACATAATTGTATATCTAGGTACTAGGTTTATCAGGATGATCACTTGCTAAGTTATATAAATGTCTAATCATTGGATGGACACCTGAAGCTGCGATAATGTTATATTATTGAAAATAACAAATGAAAACAAATAACCAAAGAGTTACAATACTGCCCTAACTGGTTTGGCTCAGCGGATAGAGCGTCGGCCTGCGGACTGAAGGTTCCCAGGTTCAATTCCAGTCAAGAGCGTGTACCTTGGTTGCGGGCACATCCCCAGTAGGAGATGTGCAGGAGGCAGCTGATCGATGTTTCTCATCGATGTTTCTAACTCTTTATTCCTCTCCCTTCCTCTCTGTGAAAAATCAATAAAATATATTTTTAAAAAGAGTTACAATACTATTTACGATTTCATTTGAAGATTCAAGCCTCTAGGAATAAATATAACAAAGACATGGAAAACTTACAAAGTTTTGTGAAAGAACATTAACAAGACTTGGATGAGAGAAATAACAAGGTTAAGCTTAGGCGGATGAAAAGGGTGTAGATTTGAAAACGATACCACATCCTGGAGTGGGTGTGGTCAGGAGGAGCTTGGATTTCTGCCAAACCCTCCAGATAGATTGGAATACACCGTAAAAAACCAATCACAGCATGCCTCCTCTTTTCCCTCCTTCCCTCTCATTTCCCCTAAACTGCGCCTGTTCAAACCCAGCAGTCCTCAGCCAGGACTTAACACCATCCTGCCAGCAGCATGAAGCCTGTGCTGCTCCTTCAGCTCCTGCTGGTGATTCATCTAGCACCGCAGCTGGTGCCTGCGAGTCCCAAGCAACAATTTATGAGTAGGTGCTGGGGCCCGGCCCAGGCGAGGGAAGAAGCATCTGTAGAGATGGGGGGATCTGAGGGCCAATTCAGGGGCATACCTCATGAGAAAACACCGTATGTTCAAGAGTCCAGATTTTATTGTCATTAAGATCTAAGTTGGAATACCTGCTCTGTTCCTTAATGAGTGATCTTGGGCAAAGTATCAGGGCCTCGGATTTTATCTTTGTGATGAATGTAATGATATTGGGGTAGTTGGGAGGAGAAACTAAGATAATGCATGCAGACATAGAGCACTCTTACTGGACCATGGTAAATGCTCGGTAAGTATTAACTACAGCAAATGTTATCAGCCTCATCACCCAGCTGATTTTTGCTGCCCTGGTTCCTTCATGGATGTTTGGGCTAACTTTTCAAGCATTAAAGCAGAGAGGAAAATTAAGTTGGTAGAACTCAAACTGGAACCTACATAATCTTGGTTTGGGAAGATGTTTTAGGAAGAAAGGAAAGCCTTGCATTTTATTACACCGTTTAAAAATTCAGAGGTACCCACACAATTACCAGTGATTAGCATCAATCTGAAGCACTATACAATGATTACTCAGTAAGTATAATCCATCCCAGCAGCCACCATTGACCAGCTCAACCTAACAAGAGCGCTGGCCACAGTAACGTTGACCTTGACTGATACCAAAAGGACAATGAACTATTATTCATCATGCCTGCACGTTGCTGAGGACATCGTCAGAATACTGGGGGCTCAGAGCAGGAATACGTGTGGTATGTCATGTGTCAAGATAGACAAGGTCCTGTTTTAGGGTCTCAGAGAAAGTTTGTATGACTGAGGAAGGCTAAGCAAGCTGCAAGAGAATGGAGGTATCCAGGGTGGAGTTAATTGGAGAATCAAGAACTAAAATTTGGATATAGGCACAAACAGGCTCTGTAAGGCTGGCAAGTGCTATGACTGGTATTGCAACTAGATACCCAGAAGAGGAGTCAAAACTTGAGAAGGTCGATCTTTCTGAGATCCTGGTTGATGGATTCCTTCCCCATGCTCTTCAATGAAGCCCATCTTCTCCAAAATGGGAACCAGTTACAGTTTCTTGCACTGACTCAGATTGTCAACGGCTTGGGCCTGGGCTTCTTTCACCCCATCTCTGGTGCCATTTGCTGTTATAATTACAGCCCCACTTTTATTCACTTATTCTTTTGAGACCAGCTTTGAGATCCCACAGACCTACTTCTAATTTCAAATACCTGCAGAGTAATATATCAGCAGGGGCTTATAGAATGCCCCACCTATGACATTTGTCCTAAAGAAGGGACATGTCACAAGATACAAAATTTAAGGCCTGGCTGGGCTTAGATAAAGGGGTTAATGGGGCCCATCCTTAATGAGGCCCATCCTTAATGCCTTAGAAATCAGAAACAAAGAGAAGGTTGTGAGTTGAAGGCCTGGGGCAGAGTCTCCTGGTGGAGGTAATCTTGGCTTTGATCTGAGTACTGGAGGCTGAGGGGAATGAGATGTCAGCATGAAGATTCATAGTCTTCTCCTGAACAGCTAAGATCTGCAAAGAAGGAGAAGCTGATCTTTGACCCCAGAACCTGACCCCACTCTGAAATGCCCACTCTTCTCCCCAAGAAAGAAGTCACACCCAGAACCCATTTGTGATTTGGGTTCTAGCATTCTGATGCCCGTGCCTTTTGTGTGCTGTGTGGTCTTCATCCTTTCCCAAAACATTCCCTTCCATTCATTCTTCTATACACAAATAACACATGTTAGGTTGACCCTGGGCTAAACTATAAGAGAGGCTTTACGACTCATTTGAGACCACATAATGAGTCAGTGCAAATGGATCTACATACCCCTTTCTTGCTCACCATAAGTACCATTCATTCCCTTGAACTGGACCTAACCAAGTTTCTGGGGACTGGGCATCTGATCTGCAAGGATGGTGAATGACCAATGGATGTAGGGTTCTAACAAACTGTGCCTTTGATCAAATATCCAAGCCCTGATTTTCCCTGCTGAGAACTCTATAGAAGGCAGCAGCTGAGGAAAAAAAATCTTATTCCACTTTCCTGTGGCCACACAAGGGAGCTCAAGGTGGCTGGTTTCCTGGCAGCTCCTTGGGCTTCTGGAGTTCTGAATGTTACTCCAGGATGTTGGTTAGGCCCTTTCTTTCCTGTTCTGTGTTCCAGAGTATATTTTGGAGCCTCCGCCGTGCAGAGTGGACCCTGGAAACTGTACTGATTTCTGTTCAATGCAGGAAGATTGCTCACATGGACTTCAGTGCTGCTCTGCCTTCTGCGGGACAGTCTGCACATTCAACAAAAATATAATCCAAAAAAAGTAAGGAGCTTCTCGTGCCCAGGCCTGACCCTGGAGCTGCTGGTGGGAGCTCAACAGAAGAATATCTTACCAGCCACTACGTCATTCTTTCTAACGTTCTCCCTCTCTTTACCAAGAATAATTTCCATTAATGTCATGATTAAGAGTCTTCCTCCACCCCTGAACTCCAGAATCCTTCTCTCCTCATCACCACTTCTATGAATCTAAGAATCTAACTCTCTGAACACATCCACAAACCCCTCCATTCACAGACCCTGTCCTGTCCCAGCATCCAGCTTTATCCTGGGGTCTGGGACACTGTATCTATCTGTCACCAAAATCCAAAAGCAAATTGTTCTGTTTTTGCTTGCCCTCTTTGACCAAACACCATCCTTTGGCCCCTAGTATTCCTGGGTTTTGGAGATTCTCCAGCCCAAGGGAAGCTTTGGTTAATCACCAGGAAAATTCACCAAAGTCTGCTGAATGAAGAGCAGAGAAAGGACATTAGAGTGTTGATGAGACATCTAGTTTCCAATCCTATCTTGCGACTATCTTTCTATGACCTTGAGTAAGACAATTCCCCATTTTTGCCTTTTTTTTTCTCATGCAAAAAATGGGGACTCATTTTTTCAAACTTGCAAGATTGTAAGTCTCAAATGAGGTCTCAAAAGACCCACAAGGCAGGAGACTCAACCAGTGAGCTTCTAAAATGTTTTATTCTCTGCTTGGTTCCCTTCCCTGAACACAATACCCTACATATGAGACAAGGTACAAAGTGATGAAGTATAGGCCCAGAGCCAGAGAACTAGACTCAAATCCTGGCTCTACCTCTTCCTAGCTGAATGATCTCAGACAAGTTAATTCACCTCTCTCTTGGCATCAACTTTCTCATCTTTAAGACTACAATAATAATGAGAATAAAATAGATAATCCATGCAAGCTCTATATATTTATTACTCAGTAAATTTTAGCAATTTCTGTCTTCAGAGACTGGCCCTTGCAATTAAAACCCACATCTTTCAAGGCTCCACATTGGAGACACAAATAAGTATGACTCCGAATTGCCACTGAGTTCTTTAAGGTTTTACTTTCCCTGTAGCAGAAGAACTTAGCTTCATGATCTAGTCTTAAAGATAGAAGTAATGGAAAATAAAATATTATATCTATAAGAATAAACTTTAACCAAATAATATTTGAAAATATTTTTCTCCCACAGATCAAAAGGCAAAGTGTGGAAAAAGAAGATAGGCAAATGAGGCATGTTTCCAAGG